TCCAAGCACCCTTAGCATAATGCTCTTCTGTAACAAAAATAGCATTGATCACACATCCTGTCACCATGCCTCCTGTAACTAAGCCTTCTCTCCCACTACTGGTGCCAAAGGGCAGGGAGCAGATTTTTTTTCCTCCATTTCTGTATTTCCACCTGTATTCTGTACCCATGCAGGATCTGGCAATAGTAGGCATTTAATAGATAAATGTCAGTTGATTGAATGCAGCAGATAGTGATATTCTTTTAACAGAGCATAAGCATACGGTAATAGCCCTTACACTGTTTTCAGATGCCCAACTGAATCATTGTTTTCCTCCTGTGCCATCTCTCTATAACCTCTACTCCTATGCCAATTCTCACTAAAGTTTCTGATAAGCTGCAGAAAGCAGAGCTATATGAAAGCCTGCATCACCTGGTATTTGTGTATCAGAAGACATACCAAACCCAAAGAGAACTTAAACAGTATAGCATGTCATGGTAATAAATTATTCCAATTCTGCCCCCTTCCTAGCTTTACAGTTGTTCACATGTCCTTCTTCCTGTCAGCCTAAATTTGTTTTCTCTGTCAGACGCTGTCTGACCTCATCATTAAAGATTCCTTTAGAGCCCCAAATCCTCAATTCTAACTTTTAGAGAATACTTTCTTTTTTAACCTGCTGGCTTTCCCTAAAATCTGCAAATAGGCTGATTCACTTTATCTTCCTCAATATATTTTACATATTGTGTTTTATTTTATTTATTAGATATGCCAAGGGGTACTTTCCATGTCACATTAATTTTTTATTTGTACAATGGCACAAACACAAAAATATACATAACGATACTGGTGTTTTACCAACAGTTACTCAGTCATAGTCTCAGCAAAATTTAAGTACTGCTGTCAAGATTCTTAATGGGGTTGTCCTGTTTCCCTATTCCACCACACAGCACTCAATCTCTCTGATAAATACATACCGAAAAAAAATGGTAAAAGAATATGTATTTGAAAGGACAACAAGTGAGTAGCTTTCCTACGATACCCACAGGTGTCAGTCTGACTCTGGGCTTTGATTGTACCATATTTTTAGTTGTGTTTTTGGTTAATTCATGCTTCTTCTATATAGACAGAGGTTTGCCTAGCACAACTGTCCCTAATCTCAGATAGTTTACAGGTAGTCTGTTATGACTTACAGGGGGACAACTGGAAGTATCAAATGGCCTCAAGAGTTCTTGAGCCAATCAGACCAGAATTGGAACCACTGAATACGAACAATTTTCTTAAGCTGTTAAACATTCTTTTCTCATAAGCAAATGGATACAAAAGATATTCTGTAGTCTAGGCCAGAAGTCAGCAAAGTTTATCTGTTAAAGAACCAAATAGTAAATATTTTAGGGTTTGTGGGCCATATGGTCTATCTCAACAACTCAACTCTACTGTTGTTGTGCAAAAGCTGCCACAAACACTATGTAAACAAATGGGAGGGGCTGTGCTCCAATAAAACTTTATCTATAAAAACAGATGGGGGGCCACATTTGGCCCATAGGTTGTAGTTTGCCTATCCCTGGTCTAGATAAAGTATTATTCTCAAAAATCTAAAAAGTTCAAAGGAAGACTACTTCTTTCCATAATTAAGCTCTTTTTTGTCAGGTCAACAGTGTGACTAATTCTTTTACCAAAGCCGAAGCACAGAATTGACTCCCTTCTCTAAGATAAGTTGGTCACGAAAATGCAGCCCTGAGGCAGCCTGACTCTTCTGGAGTCCTCCTGAATGAGCTCCAGGTTTTGTTTGGTTTTCAGCAATAATCAGTAACTCAGAGCAAAGTGTATGCTAAGTAAGGAAATCTAATTATGTTCAATAATCAGAATCTGTATATTTTGATTAAAAGTAACAGGAAAAAGCTAATTTGATTTCCTAATGTGATACACAAAGACAAACTTCCTGTGTCAGACTCCCTGGTAATCCTGCTGGAAGGCTCCAATTTGACATGTGCTTAAAGGAGAAAATGATCTTCTTGGAAAAATGCAACTGGCAGATTTTGTATCTGCCCACATCCACTTTCTTTTGTCCAGGTAATTTCTTGATGAAACTGGATTTATACTGATTAGAAGTTTATAGATTATAGTTTTTGGAGAAATCAGGATAGAGGTTACTATGCAACCTTATAAGGAAAAAAATATTGATTCCCTATTCAGGGTTTAGTTTCACCTGAAGAAAAGAAAATTAAACTATGACTCAGAGGAACTGGAGTTCATATAAGAGTTATTACAAAGGGACTGCAGACCCATGATAATGTAGTGTTTCAAGACTTCATTACCCGGAAGTAAACCTAACCATTGATACATTCCCTCACTGAGCAGCTCCTCTATGCCAGTTACTTCCAGTGGTAGAAATCCATTGGCATCAGTCCTGCTTATGGTCTTTTCCAGACAGTGGTATGGAAGAATTGATCTTGTATATCAACTCACACTCATTACCAGTTTTCAGGGATAGCTTACTTTAAACAGAAATAATGCATTTGACTCTATTAGCATGATTAGGTCTTGGATTTGTATTTTAAGCTAGGGGTTTTTAACCTTTTCTGGCTGTGGACCTCTTTGGCAGTCTACTGATGACTATGGATCCCTTATTAGAATAAGGTTATTAAATTCATAAAGTAAAATACACAAAGTCCATGTGCGTGCAAAGGAAAACCAAATTGTCAAGGTTTTTTTAACCCCTTTTCTTGCTGTCTCTACTTCTTTTTCTCTGTTTCTTCAAGTCCTTGTCTTTCCTCCTCTTGGCTCTCTGAGCAAGTAAAGGTTAGGGAGCCAAAAAGCAAACTTTTAAAGCCAAGAGCCTCCATCTAAGATTCCAGGCAGCTTTGAAGTAAACCTGTCAGTAACAGAGGAATGCTAATGATCTACCCAGCTAAGAAAACAGTAAACTTACCCATGATTCACCTCATCCATGGCATGGGATGTGTCTGTCTAGTTTAGACAGTAGGCATCATTTTCTGACTCTAGCAACCAGCACCCCTTACATGAGGAATCCTACCCATCATTCAAATCTCACCTTAGTTCATTCACCACTTCTTCTGGGAACTTGCACTGACTCCCAGGATTCTGGGCAAGGTTATCATACTTTTCATGCCAACTGCACACTGAATACCAGAGAATTCACCAAGCCATGTAATAATTTCCTATTAATATGTTAACATGTCTATCACCTACACTGGCATCTTTACAGTGCCTGGTACGAAACTTTGAATACACAGGGACTCAAAAGAGTATTTGTTGGAAAAAATTCTAACAAGGCAGGCCCACCATCAGCTCTTCATTATTATTCTTTGCTGCTATACCAAACCTAGATATTCTCCAAGAAAGCTCTATAATGTGGACGGCATAAGGCATAAAACACCTCTTTAGGATAAGACAGATTTCAGACTAATGATTAAGTTGCAAAATTTCTAGTTGAATCCCCAAGATTTTCTTTTGTAGTATGTGATAACCAATAATTGTCCTTATGCTAAACCTCGAGTATAAGATTTCAAGTACCCAAAACTCCAAATGGAAATGTGTCCAGATACTCACTGAAAGACATGTTAGAATGTTCGTGTCAGTACTACTCATAATAGCCCCAAACTAGACACTACCCAATTGGCCAATAAAGGTAGACTGGATGAATAAAATATGATATATTCATGTAGCAGAATGCTAGAGAATAAAGAAACTATATGCAAAGGTATGGATGAATCTCACAATACAATTCTGAGAGAAGGAAGCCAGCAAAAAAATGTACATACTAGATGAGTACATTAAAAATGGGTGACTTGGGAATTGTTTTTTCAACAAATGGTACTAGGACAACTAGATATCCAGATACAAAAGAATAAATTTGGACTCCTACCTCATAGCATATGTAAAAATTATATCAACATGGATTAAAGATCAAAATATATGCATAAATATTCATGATCTTGGATTAGGCAGTTTTTATGTGTGATATCAAAAGCACAAGCAACTTGTATCTAGAATACATAATGAATTATTACAACTCAGTAATAAAAAGACAATCCAAATAAAAAGTGGTCAAAGTGTCTGAATAGATAATTCTCCAAAGAAGATATACACAAATGGCCAATAAGAACTTGAAAAGATGTTTAGCATCATTAGGTATCAAGGAAATATAAATCAAAACCATAATGAGATGCCATTTCACACCCAACAAGATGGCTCTAACTGAAAAGACAGACGATAGCAAGTGTGGACAAAGATGTGGAGAAATCAGATGATTTCTGATCTGATTTCTCTGTCAATGAGAATGTAAAATGGTGCCCCTGCTTTGGAAAACACTTTGGTACTTCCTCAAACATGTTACCATGAGATCTAGCAATTCTACTCCTAGGAATGTACCCAAGAGAAAGGAAAACGTATGTCTGCACAAATACTTGTACCTGAATATTTAGAGCAGCATTATTCATAAAATCCAAAATTCATAAAATATGGGAACAACACAAACATTCGTTTGCAAATGAATACATAAATAAAATGTGATATATCCATACAGTGAAATATTATGAAGCAATGAAAAGAAATGAAGCACTGATACATGCTATAACATGGACGAACCCTGAAAACATGCTGAACGAAGGAAGCCAGTCACAAAGAACACATATTGTATGATTCCTTTTATATGAAATGTCCAGAAAAGGTAAATCTATAGAGACAGAGAATAGATTAATGGTTACCTAGGGCCAGAGGATAGGAACAGAAGAGGATGTTTAGGTGTAATGTTTAAAGAGTGTGGGGTTTGTTGTTTTTTTTTTGGAATAATGAAAATGTTCTAAAATAGACTGAACTCTTTGAATATACTAAAAGCCATTGAATTGTATACTTTAAATTGGTAAATCATATGGCCTGTGAATTATATCTTAATAAAGCTGTTATTAAAATAGATGACTCTTTGGACCGGGCAGATTCTCGGACTTTTCCGTATGTCAACACTCTCTTAAGGATCTTAGCCACTCGCTGTATGATGCAGGCCATGTACTTCTGCTCTGGAATGGACAACGATTTTCATTGCTACGGCTTAGCATCACCCATATACACACATTTAACTTCACCCATCAGAAGATATGCAGACAGCATCGTGCATCGGTTGCTGGCTGTGGCTATTGGGGCTGACTGTATGTATCCAGAGTTGACAGACAAACACAAGCTTGCAGATTTATGTAAAAATCTCAACTTCCGGCACAAAATGGCTCAGTATGCCCAACGTGCATCAGTGGCTTTTCATACCCAGTTGTTTTCCAAAAGCAAAGGAATAGTAAGTGAAGAAGCCTATATTCTATTTGTAAGAAAGAATGCTGTTGTGGTGTTAATTCCAAAGTATGGTTTAGAAGGTACCGTCTTTTTTGAAGAAAAGGACAAACCAAAGCCAAGGCTTATTTATGATGATGAGATACCTTCCCTTAAAATAGAGGATACAGTGTTTCATATATTTGATAAAGTTAAAGTGAAAATCATGCTAGACTCATCCAATCTTCAGCATCAGAAAATCCGAATGTCCCTGGCAGAACCACAGATACCAGGAATAAGCATTTCGGCTGATACTCCAAACATGGACATTGATGAACCAGAGAGAAAGAAGAAGAAACGTGAGAAATAGCTACAGTCAACAAAAAAACTTCGAAGACTGGTTTCCTTAAAAAAAAAAAAAAGAAAAGAAAAAAAAAAAACCCAAAACAAAAAACCTTGAGAGAACACTTTTAAACCTAGGAAGTGTGTGATACAGTTTGTTACTTTTAAATTCATTGTAATGGTTTTAAAAATTTGCATTTTTATTGAAAAAAAAATAGATGAAACTAATCCATGGTGTTAAAAATCAAGAGAGTAGTTATCCCTGAGAGAGGTGGCTTGAAGAGCACTCAAGAGAGACCTCTAGGAAGACAGAGATGTTCTGTTTCTTGATCTGAATCCTCGTTAAAAAGTTACACAGGTAGGGTGCCTGGGTGGCTCAGTTGGTTAAGCGACTGCCTTCAGCTCAGGTCATGATTCTGGAGTCCCAGGATCGAGTCCCACATCGGGCTCCCCGCTCAGCGGGGGGTCTGCTTCTCCCTCTGACCCTCTTCCCTCTCGTGCTCTCTATCTCTCATTCTCTCTCTCTCTAGTTTACTCTAGTTTCACTTTACATGAAACTAACGACTTAAGTCAAAAATAATGAGTACAAAATGAGTCTGAACGTATGGCAAGAAAAGGTAGTAAGATGGCAGTCATGAAAATGATTCCTTTACCATAGTCTTGAGTATATTCAAACAATGACCCTGAAACCCTAAAACTTAGAAAACATGACCTCTGCACCATTTCCTTTCCCTTTAAATAGGAAATATTCAAATTACCCAATAAAATAAAACTTGTTTCATTCTCTTTCACTCACAAAACCCAAAAAGAAAACATGTGAGTGCAGGCATGTGTTCGGCTTCCTCCTTGATTTTAATAGTTCTGACACTTTACCCAGAAATTATATGGGATCCTATATAATAATCTCATTCTTAGGACAAATAATACTGTTTCTCCCCCCAATTCAGATTAAAATACTCCTTTCATACTATGAACGTATTCTCCTAGCTGAAGACGTAGTATTCAACTGTAAAATCAATTTCTAGATCCAGAGAGTAATGTTGATTCCTAATGCTACCCTAATGCTTCCATGATTCCATAAGAGAACAATTCTGTTCCATCCTGAGGCTCGGGGCAGAGATCAGAGCAAAGGTCCTGGAATCATAAACATTCCATCAGGTTCCAATCCCAAAACCGAAAGGAAGAAAGAAAGGCCTCTGTGCTCCTTCCCGAAGCTCATCAGAGTCTTTTCTTGTTTGGTCTGGGGGATAGAAATTGCCTTCCTCTGTGTACTCTTTAATTCTCTATCCTTATATTCACCATGAAGAGGGACCTGAGAAGGTTAACTGAGGAAGGTTAACCCACACACAATATGCATTACCCATTGCCCTTTTCTGATTTCAAATTAAGTATATAATTAGTAAAACAGGAAATCCATGCCTTCTGGTGATGAAAAATTAGAAAATCAATAGGTGGTTGCCTCTGCAGAGACTCAGGGGACTTTGGGGTCTTTAGTTGAAGCTGCCAGTTCTAATATCTGAATGGCAACACAGGCATCCTCTTCAGGCCTCAAAGCACTGAGCAGATGCCCCACTTCTGGGCTGGCTGGCTCTGAAGATTTGCAAAGAGAAATGAAAAGAAGAAATTGAACTGTGAAAATGTAGGTAACAACGTAGAAGCAATAAAATTGCTCTTAATACTGTCAGAAAGCTTCAAAAACAAAAGATTTTATACATTTCTTAAAATATCAAAATGAAGAGGTAATTGTTTTCTCCTCCACCCCTCCTCCCAAACTGCTACAAATGATGCATTCCTTCCAGCATTGTCTACTATTTCAAATGCCATGTTTTAGAAGTTGTTATGTGGCTGCCCTCTTAGGTGTTGGAGGATATATAACACTTTTTACCCTTAATTGTGTGTTGCCTTGATTTTATGGCCTGCTTGCACAACTCAGCATTCTTTTAGTGCTGTTTGGGGGATGGATACATTTATTGATGTACGGAGCTTTCTGTGTTCATAAACTCCTGCATATGGGGACTTGAATCAACCTTTCTGCGTAAATTTTTTTTGGTGACACTATCCTTTTCTAAACACTAGTAACCCATAGCCAACTGAAGAAATAAACAGTCAGGTTTGTGTATTTGTACTCAGTCTATCCCCAGCCTTGTAAGGTGCTGTGTAGCGTACAGTTTCAGCACTACATACATAAACCATTGTTGTATTCATTCACTTAGGTTTATGAACAGTAAAATCCCAGAATTGTTTTGTTTCATTCCAAGCCTCAATGATTGCTTTTAGAGAAATATACTCTTTAATTAGCACCACTGGATTATTCCCCCCAAGATAGATGTAATGCCTCATGTAGCAATTAGTATTTTGGAATTGTGTTATAATTTCTGCAATACAAAATTAACCTAGATTGAGATCACAGGTGTTCTTCTGAAATATTTTTAACCTGGTTTCTTTAAAGTAAAACATAACTGCTATTCCTTTTTTCTTTCCAAAAGTCTACCGGGAAAGTCTCCTCCTTCAGATCTAGCTGAGTGTTTAAAAGCAGGGGCTTTGGAGGGAGCTGGACTTAGAATCTACTCTGAACTCATTCTGCATGATCTGTCTGGGCTTCGATTTCACTGCTTATAAAAGAGGATTATTCATTCCTACATTTTAAGGTTGTCGAGAGGATTGAATGTATTAGACTTTGCCACTAGCCTGACTCATACTCCTCCTCAGCTCTCAGACTTGTCTAGGAAGCCTTTAATGATCCTCAACCCTGGGCCAGGTTCTCCACTTACGTACTCCCATTAGACATTTTATTACCTTTATCATACTGCTCTGTATTTTTTGTACACGTGTCTGAGTCTATTTCCCACCACTTTTCCTTCCCTTCCCCTTACCATTCCACACACTGCTGACTATAAACTTGCTGAGAGCTGAACAAGATGTATATTTTTACAGCTTGTGATAGTTACTGATGCTATTCACCAAATATGTCCATTTACTTGCCCTTCTGGGCATGTGATGGGATTGTATTTCCTGACACCTTGTGTGTGGAGCAGGCCTGTGTGACCATTTGATCAGTGAATCATCAATAGGAATAATGGGAGTCACTTTTGGGACAGAGTATTTAGTTGCTGGTTTGATTCAATTTTTCCTTTGGTAGATGGCAACACTCAAGATGGTGGTTATCTGATGACTCAAGATGGTCAGCATGAGAGACTACAATGAGCAGGGCCCTCCATCGGTCCATGACGGACACACAGAATGAACAACAAATAAACCTATGTTGGTTTATGCTACTGAGCTTTTGAGGTTATTTGTTATTGTTGCCTAAATCAGCCCATCCTGACTGACACACAGATGTACTTCCAGTCCTTGACATAGTGACTAGCCATGGTAGATTCTTCATAAACTCTTAGTACACAGCGTTTTTCATCAAACATAGTGCTACTAACCAGGAGATACTCTCAATAGCATGGTTCGTGATATAGTATCCATATTTTCTTTGCCCCCTATAATCATTATCTGTAGAAAATATCTTCTGTGGCCTGCCTTCAATCTTGTGGAAACAAATCATATTGGTTAAGAAGTTGTGCCTAAGACAGTTATAGATGAACCTCCAACTGCCTCTGGTGATATAAACTATTATTTACTAATCTTTATGTAGTGAAAGGGGACCTCCTGGCCAAAGTTAAGAAATGAATTCACTAGTGTCATTAATAAGAGCAGAATAATGCATTTTCTTCAAAAACCCAACCTGTCATAGGTATATAATTTTTTTTTTCTCTATTGCCTATTGATTCAAGGACCCTCATGAGTCTTTAAGCTCCTTTAGTACTTGAGGTTTTTGAAGAGCATAATATTATTGTTAATTATGGAAACAGTGATTTTTTTTCTTATTCCTGTTTCAAAGGTTTTAGAGACCAATAGTTGGGTAGATAGATGGAGCACTACCTCCACGCAAGAGACCTTTGGACTGTGGTCCTATAAGGATGGCCAGGTAAGGGAAGAAAGTGAAGAAAATAAAAGAGAAGGAATGAAAACAAGAACAAAAGTTCAGGAAGAAAGAGAGAACACATTAGGTTCAGAATATATATATATATATATATATATATATGTAATGGCTTGGGAAAACCAAAACAGATAGCAGTAAATTTGGTAATGAAATTATTAAACAAGTGAGCAGTGAGATGGAGAAGGAAATGAGACATATCCTTTAAAAGTGAACTATGTTGAAAGCATCAGTTTATTATGACCAAATAGGTCAGACAAGCAAAGTACAGAAAAGAAAACCATATGACCTAAAGGCCAGGTCTCAAAGAACAAAGAGGGAAGAGATGGGAAGTATTATAACAATTCATATTAAGAACCCATTTAGAATGGTAATTAAGGCAAAGATGGAAATAATTTTGCATGTGCTGTATTGAGAATTTCCTTTATTATTTGGTTTGACCAGTGTAAACCTAACCCCAGGGTGTAGGTACCCCTCCAACACAACTTCCACCATCTAACACCCAGGGTTCTGGAATTACAAAATACATCTTTGTTATTTTCTACTGAAGATGAGTTCTTTGCCTGTGATCTTGGAATTCTTGAAGCTCATTGTTTGCTGACAGATCTAAATTCTAGCTCAGCTAAAGAATCAATTGGGAAAATAAAGAAGAAAATAGCAGGATACAATGAAGACCACACACATAACATTTGGCTGTTATATCTCGTTTCCTGTTTGGGCCACTTTTTAAAGATTCACATGCAGTTATAGGGAAATAATACCACCAGGATATTTGGGAAATACTCAGACTCATGCACTCACCAGGAGAGTGAGGAAGATGAAGAGAAACAAGACAAGCCAATGATGGCATCAGTTAAATATATTCCCCTTGAGGTGTTCCAAGAAGGGAAGTTGTTCAGCCATAGAACAAAGACAGTTCATCTTCATGCATGATTATTCCTGAATAGACCAGAGAATTTTTCAAAATCTTTGAAAAAACTTCAAAAAGAAGGAAGAAAAGTTCTTAGAAAACCCAGTCACATTAAGTCAGAAAATGTATGAAGCTGAGATAGAACTGAGGAAGGCTTTTATGCCACACAGAAGGTGGTTGAAATTAAAGTATTGAACAGAACAGCCAGTCTCAGGGCCTAACTGGTAGAAATGGTAAATGATTAGGTTGGCTCATCCATCTATATTTATTATTTTTAATAAGAAATT